CCCAACCACAGAAAAAAATGTGGAGGAATCGCAGACTATTATTGTAAGTCATGGGTTGTGAGAGCTCAGGGGATATATGGTGGCCACCCCCCAAACAGGGGGACCTTATTCAATTAAGTAGAGTCTCTCAATCTGGCATTACATACCACCAACCTAGACCTATAATAAGGGATGCCCAACTCCCCCCAATTGTAATCCCATTATGATAAATTTCACTGATTTAGGAAAAAAGGCACGAATTGGGAATTGGGTAATCCTGGGAGTCAGACTCTACAAAACAAATCATCCAGAGCCCTTTTTACTTTGCGGCGTGTGCACAACCAGTCTCTACTCTAACAATAGGCCCTAATAAGGTACTTAGGCCACCCTATGTAAAGCCACCTCCCCGACCTCCACAGCTCATCACCTTCCCTCAACCATAGCCCGGGCTAATGTTACAACTCCAAGACCATCAGAAACCAGCCCTCCCCTGGTGAGGCCCAGTCTCATGACCGCATCTAAAGACCCCTCTGGGAGCTAGTGGGTGCTGCCTTCCTGACGTTAAACCACACCACCCTAACATGACTAACTCCTGTTGGTTATGTTATGATGTGAGGCCCCCATTCTATGAGGCAATAGGGCTAACACCACTCACGATACCTCATCTGAGGAAAAACCCTACTCAATGTTCCTGGGGAGACCGTAAGAGAGGTCTGACCATACAGCAGGTAAAGCGGCCAAGGAACCTGCTTAGGAAAAGTGCCAAAGAACAGACGGGACTTATGTACTGTTATTAACGCCAGTTCTACCTGGGAAAATGCTATTAAATGGGTAATCCAAAGGACAATGGGTGGTGGTATGCTCGCGGTCTGGACTCCCCTGCCTATCAACTAAGGTGTTTAACAGCTCTAAAGAATTCTGTGTTATAGTGGCTGTGCTGCCCCGCATCCTCTATCATTCGGAAGAGAGTCTATATTATACTGGAATACAAAATGGTTGAAAAAAAGGAAAAAGAGAGAACCTATTTCCACAGTAACCTATTGCTACCCTACTCAGCTAGGGTTAGCGGGAGCAGGAACGGCATAGCTTCTTTGGCACCCAGCAGAAAGGGATGTCTTCGCTGCGCGCAGCCATAGACGAAGATATAGAGAGAATAGAAACCTCCATTAGCCACCTAGAAAAATCCCTCATCCCTGTCTGAGTAGTACTTCAAAACCGACGAGGTCTGGACTTGTTGTTCTCCAAAAAGGGGGACTATGTGTTGCTCTAGGGGAGAATGGTGTTTTTACACTGACCATACCGGAGTTGTTCTGTGACTTCCCATGTCTAAACTTCGAAAGGAGGCTGAACAAAGAAAACGAGAAGAGAGGCCGGGGGAAAGCTGGTTCGAGTCTGTTTAACCAGTCCCCATGGTG